TCCCTCTCATTAGTTGGTACCTGCCCGCACAAGCACCACACGCACCGCAGTTTTCGAGAGAGCGATCTCGAGCCGGATCCCACATCTAGGTCCCTGCACGGTCTTCTGACCCGACCAGATCGAGACCCAACCAGCTTGACGACTCCATTGGGGACATCGCTGCCCCATCGTCAGCCTAGTTTGCTTGCTTAACATTTTGCACAACACACACACATCTTCAGGATTATTCAATCCCTACGTCCGAGTCGGGGACTTCATCATCTCTGCACTAGTGAGTTTGTCCCCTAGGGAAGGGGTTTCACGAACCTCGCTTCCTACTTTCCTCTTGAGTTTAGACCAGGCTTCGCGCTCTCGGGTTCTGACCCGGCTTGGGGTGAGAAGGGACTCCCAAGTCGCTTACTCCCCATCCACCGGTATTGATGGACAAGCCGTCGGTGTCACTTGCATTAGTGGCACAATGACCACCTCTCACCGTATTCACTCGGTGACTGGCAAGTCACTTGTCGGTCTTGCTACTCGGGGCAGCTGAAAGGCTACTTCCCTCTCTTCCGCAATTGGTAGATTACCTGCCATTGCCTATGAGGGTCGCCATACGGCCATCCCCCACCCTCAATCACTTCGAAATGCCAGTTTTCCTGGCAGTTTGACCCAAAGAGTAGGCTTCAAGGCCACTCCCTCTCACCCACTAGCTAAGACCAGCGGCTCACCCGCAAAGTCCACATCTCAGGGCAGCCTTAGGACTACCCCAGTCTACCACCACAAGCTGGGTCTTTTAGGACCTAGCCCCACACACGAAGGCAACCCAAAGGTCACCTCACCAAGCATGTTGCATTTGCATCACTCTGCTCCTGGTAGCTCGAAAGCTACATCCCGGAAAGCACACGGGCGATGACCTTGTCGTCAACCCCACTCGCACATGTTTGCGCACCCCGTGAGTAGTGGTCAAGGCCACTTCATCACACACACCTGCTTGTAAGATCGGCATTTCTGAAGCCGGGTCTTCTATCCGAGCCCGAGTCGACCCTCAAGTTACCCGAGAGCCCTTCACGTGCCGTGCACATGCACCCGACCCTCTGACTACCCATAACTCTAAGGGTAAAGGCTAGTGGTGCGCGCCTTCTCCCCCTTTTGCTTCGCTTGTTCCACCAAAACCACTAACCATGTAGTACTCGAAGACGTTTCCGCTGAGTACCCTCCTCTTATCTCCTCAACAATCCCATGCACCCACAGGTTCCTGAAGACAGGCGCGGGGCAAGCTCCAATGATCAAGAAGGTCAGGCATCCCCTGTGTCTTCCAGCCAAGCACGAACCACATAAGAGAGTTGAAGAACCGACTCCTTCAGGTCCTCATTCCTTGCCCTGACTGATGGAAGTAGCTTTGGCCTGCTTAAGGAGGGGCAAACGCTTACAATGCTGCTCGCAATTCCAGTTTTGGGAAAAAGTATATTGAAATCTGAGGATCAGGCACAAGAAAATTGTGCGAATCCCTCAGAAGAAGAAGTCCGAGAGACCGGTGGCACCTGAGCCCATCGACCTTTTAAAGGATAACCCCTTCTACCTGTTGCAGTCAGTGACGGAGTCCAAATCAAAAGGGAAAGAGCAGTGTATGGTCATTGAGGTCGTTGAAGATGGCTCGAGTCATCAAAACCCACGGTCCCAAGACCTTCGTGAATCGATGACAACCCGGTCTCTTAGTAGAACCAAATCTTAGTCGGGGCATACCCAACCCCTTCTGACTGGTCTCTCGGACCGGGTCACCCGATGTTACGACGCCCCAGCTATGCTCGAGACCTCCTTCCCCGAGGAGAGGGCTGAGGTCATGGTTATCAATCAAACCAAGGACGAGCCTCAAGATTGCATAGCCCAACTTGAAGTGGTCATTTATCAAATGATGGAGTGGCTTAATCAGGTAGAGAATGCCAGACCCCCGCAAAGTCATCCCATCATGGGGCCAGTTTGCCACAGATACTGCAGTCTGCGGACGAGGTGCTTAAGCAACCACCTCCTCCACTGGCATATGGTCATTCTCTCCCCACGGCGCCTTAAGCTCCTTCTCACCCAGTTACAAAAGCAGATATTGATGCTATGGTCAGTCGCAGATTACGAAATAGGTAAATTCCCGGGGTCCAAGAGACAACCCTCTATAGCAAGCCCTACCCTGCATTCATCGACTTATTGTCATTCCCAGCTAATTACCAAAAGGGGAGACTCCCAGTCTTTAATGGCACAAGCTCGCCTCATCAGCATATTGCACATTTTGTATCCGCATGCCAAGAAACGGCCTCAGATGGTAGGCTTCTCTGTCAGTTCATGGAAACACTAGACGAACCAGCATTTAGGTGGTATGCTCGCCTCCCACTGAACTCCGTTCGCTCCTGGGAGGAGATGGAGCACTTATTTTACAAGCGCTTCTATGAGGTTGAGAGGAAAATGCAGGCCATAGAGCTTCTTACCATGACCCAGGGCCCAGATGACCCCATAGATCAGTTCATCACCAGGTGGAAGGACTTGGCCATGTACCAAAGCAACCCCATGCCAGAAATATGTTGTGCAGATTTGTGTCCACAATATGTGTCCCGAGATCTCGTTGCGTGTTGAAGCCTCAAACCCCACCTCTATTTCGAATCTGATTTCTAAGGCAGTCCCTATAGAAAGCTTGTTCAAGCACCACGGTAGGGCCCCGTCGTAATCTTAGGTGGATTGCTTGTCCTCTTTCTCTAATGCTTCGAACTGGTCACCGGCTTCAAGGTCAATTTGGCCAAATCCAAAATGATTGGCTTGGCAGTCGATCCTCTCTTCACCCGGGCCCTTGTTGCCAAATGGGGATGTGGGGACTCCCTCCCTTCCACTTAACTCAGTCTGCCTCTTTGCCACAGCAAACCCAAACTCAGTCAGTGGAGCCACATCATAGATCGGTTTGACTGCAAACTGATCGCGTGGAAGGGGAGATTTTTATCTCCAGCAGGTAGAGTCACCCTCATCAAAGCTACCCTTTCCAATGTCCCCATTTAAAAGATATCCCTTTTTCATATGCCGCCCATCGCCTCGAACAACTGATGTGCAAATTCCTCTGGTCTGGCTCAAGGGAATCCAATAAGATTCACCTCATCTCCTAGCAAAAGGTTTGCAAACCCAAGGCCCTCGGTGGCTTGGGGATCCAAAACCTTCTACCCAATGACCTAGCCCTACTCGGAAAATGGTGGTGGTGGCTCGCCACCCAGGAGGGGCACCTTTGGCAATAGGTTCTTCGCCACAAATACCACATCAACAATGCCTCTTGAGTGCCCCAAACAGACCTTACAGCTCCTCCTCGGGGGTTTGGAGATCACTAACCTGGTGCCTAGACTATTTCAAAGCCCATATTCGCTTTCACCCCCACCATGGTGATAGAATCCTTTTCTTCCGACCTTTAGGCTGGACATACACTCTTGAGGAACCTCTTCCGCCTAGCCTATGCTTCAGTGGTGGATCTCTTTCCTTTTTTGGGCTCAGATCGCTCTTGGATTCCCAATTTTTGTATAGCCCTCCACGAGAGTGAGATCCCCTCCTTTCTCGAGCTCTCAACCATTCTCCACCCTCTCTACCTCCCTTCCCAGGGGGAGGATTCTATCATTTGGACTCCTTCCCCTAACTGAGTGATCTCAGTGGCCACCTTCTATCGTGTCCTTGACTTCCGCAGGACCTCCCCCCCCTGCCTCAGCCCATTGTCGCAACGGCATGGTTTTTATTCACCCCTCCGAGAATTCAGGTTTTCTTCTAGATAACATTGTCCGAATGAGCCCTCACTGTCGACCAGCTCCTATGCAGAGGAATGATAATCCCTAATTGTTGCGCAATGTGTAGGGAAGATTAGGAAAACAACTCCCACCTTTTTATCCATTGCAGCTTCGCGAGTCAATTGTGGGACAACCTCCTTGGCCTTTCCAAGTGGACCTAGGTCACCCCCATGTCAGTACCTGACTTTTCCAACAGTTGAATTTTCTCCCGTGGCCCAAATCTGGCACTTTGCTGGGGAAGGCCTCCGTCGCCGCAACTCTTTGGACCATTTGGAAGGAATGCAACCAAACGATCTTCCAGGGTAAATCCTCTCACCCCCGGGTGGGACTCCATCAGGTCCACTGTGATTTTTTGGGTTTCCAACCACAGCAGATTCAAGCTTTTACTGGCATTGAACTTCCTCCTCAATTGGCAAATGATGCTTCCCTTCAGGCCCCATCGTAATATCGTATTTTCTTGCCTCCCTGTGGTGCCCCCCGGAACTTGGCCAAATGAAACTCAATTTCGACGGTTGCTCTCTCGGCAACCACGAAGTAGCCATGCTCCCTTCCTTCGCCTCGCCCATTGGATGGGCTGACTCCACCACGGCCGAAGCCCTTGCCCCTTTGGAAGGCCTCACACTTTTCAACCCTTCTTGGAGTTCTTCCCTTGTGGTGGAATTAGACTCCAAAAATGTCACCACATGGGCCTCTAGAGAGGCCCCACCCCCATGGCAACTCATTTCGGTCTTTGACGAGATCTTCGACATTTGTAGGTATATACAGGTCTCATGGGTGCATATTTGGCGCCAGGCCAACCTAGCAGCAGACAATCTAGCTAAGCAAGGCGGTACCGAGGCTGAGAGCTAGCTCGTTCATACACTTATATACCCCCTGGTTTTTGGGTTTTTATGCTTGTATAGCATTTTTTGTTGATCAATACCCTCCGGGTGGTTTTTATACAGAACTCCCAACTTGTGGGTACCCATTTTTTGCAACATGTACGTCTCTCTTTATCAATACAAATGATAACACTATAAATATACTAATAATAAAAAATAAAAAAAATAGAAAAAAATAGAAAAACACAGACATGCACCACTCGATCACACACCAACAAACAGAAAGATATTTCTCTGTTATTCCAATGAAATGAATTTGTGGACATCACTGATATTTTTAATTGCTGCATCAACTTAAATTATTTTTGCAAAAATTCATTTCTCTTGTGTCCTTGCTCTGCAGTATTTCATGTATCAATTATTGCGTGGACTAAAATACATACATTCTGCCAACATTTTGCACCGAGATTTGAAACCCAGTAACCTGCTTCTCAATGCAAACTGTGACCTCAAAATATGCGACTTTGGGCTTGCAAGAACCACCTCTGAGACTGATTTTATGACAGAGTATGTTGTGACTCGTTGGTATCGGGCACCTGAACTACTTCTGAATTGCTCAGAATACACAGCTGCTATTGATATTTGGTCGGTAGGTTGCATATTCATGGAGATCATGAAGCGAGAGCCATTGTTTCCTGGTAAAGACTATGTCCAGCAATTAAGACTAATAACAGAGGTAAATGCTTATTACCATAGAGCGAATAAATTGATGGGAGAGTATACTATAATTGCTCATTTGAGCCATCACTGTCTGAATAAATGAGGGATGTGGTGGGAGAATGGGATGGGGAATTCAACATGGCCCCAGCATCCCACACTGTCGCCATCACGTTCTGTTATTTTATCAGATGGCAAGAATCCCAGTGAACTATGGTTTTCAATAGTCCATTGGGTTCTAGACTTCTAGTGTATTTTTCTTAGTTAATCCATGGGTTTAGTGTCCTTTGCAAATTTCAACTTTTTTGTAAGGTACTTTCTTATGTCTTGTGTATGGTTTTTAAGGGCCTGTTTTTATTAACTTCTTTATTCTCTGATTAGTTATTAGGATCACCAGAAGACTCTGATCTAGGGTTTCTAAGAAGTGACAATGCTCGGAGGTATGTGAGGCAACTACCCCATTTCCCAAAGCAGCCATTCTCCGAGAAATTCCCAGACTTGTCCCCTGAAGCCATTGACCTTGTAGAGAAAATGCTCGTGTTTGACCCTTGCAAGCGAATTAGTGGTATAACTCATTTCCTTTTTCTTTTCTGCTCCTGATTCGAAATGCCTTGTGCAATTTATTTTTGGTCTGATTAATTATTAATTGCCCAAAAAGAAATAAGGAAGAAGGTTTGGTTTTATGATATTTTTGTGCAGTTGAAGAGGCATTAAGGCACCCTTTTCTGTCAAGCCTTCACGAAATAAATGAAGAACCTATCTGCTCGTCTCCTTTCAATTTTGATTTTGAACAGGCTTCATTCACTGAGGAGGATATAAAGGAGCTTATATATAGGGAATCTTTGAGTTTCAATCCAGATATGAAGTAGTGGATGTATTTGAGTGCTCTTTAATCCTATTGATCGTTCCCCTTCCCTTTCTGTTCTTCGGTGTCCTGGTGAGTTACTGTTGTGGATCTGGATCAAGAAAGTTACATATTTAAATGCAATACTGTGTTGGGTATCGAATAGAGCGAAGCCAAGTGTTGCATAAAGAAAGAATTGTGTTTTCTTTATTTGCTTTGGTGGTGGGAAGGTGTTATGCATATGTTGCAGTGGTTTGATATATGGGTTCTGGACTTCCGTGTTATGAAATAAGATGTTTGTTAGGTAAAAGATTATGGAGTCGTCATGGCCACCACACTTAAGTATGTTATTTATGTAACTATAGGGGAAGTACCCCCTTTATATGTCTTTCACATTTTCTACTTTGTATGCCTCAAGCATAACAATTGGGATATGGAAAAATGATATATTGATGAGCAAAACTGGATTAGTTGAGACCTATACATGCTAATTAAAGTACTGAATGTGAAAATAAGCAAATGAGCTATTATAATATACTCTCCCATCCAGTACTATAGCATCCTGGATATTAGATGCATGTGAAAATAAGCAAAAAGTACTGAATGCACCTCTTTCTCTAGAAATGGGAGCGGTTTTGGTGGCAGCGCGGCTTCACCCAGGGTGCTCTAATGGCATTTTTAAACTCCATATTTTCGATGAACTGAGGACCCGAATCAACTCTAATCAACCTGCAAATCTGCTTCTGCCCTATGAGATGGTTTTGGACGGCTTAAGAAGCTCCAAATCTGCTCGATTTGGTTGGACATTCCAGAGCATATCTTGAGATAATAGTCAAGATTGAGCACTTTTAAGGCTTCTTTTATTATATTTAGACCCATGATTTAGTTGGATAAGTGAATGGATTTACAAATTTTTGGGTACTCGAGTGCCTAGAGTCAATAGAGAAATGGGTGCGAATGTGGTCTGTATGCGAGTGGTAGATGCACTCTTGTGGGCTACATTGAAGCATCGTCAAACAACTTAGCTTTACTGGAGGTTAAGCAAAAAAGCAAAACAATGACATAAGCTTTGAATTGTGAAAATGGATCAATGATCTGGATCACCCATATAGAAAATCGATATGAATCGGTTGATCAGCGATACAAAACCGCGATCTGGCCGAAAGAATTGACCAATAAAAATAAATAAATAAATGAATATTTCTGTGTCTTTTTGTTTTTAAGTTTTGTTTCTCAATAAAACCAAGATTTTATTAAAATATGGAGATCCTATTTATTATGTTTTCTAACTCTATAAGCTAACTCTACTTATTTTTTATTTTATTTTTTAGTCCAAACAAAATTTAAAAGGACATGCGATGTAAACGTTATCCTTTCCCTTCACTCAAAAACTTGTTAGAATTTCCCCAACTCTAACTCTCTCTCTCTACTCTCTCCCCATGTCTCTCACTCTTCTCTTTGAGCAACAGAGTTTTCTTCATTTGTATACTACTAATAATGCCTTTAGAACATAGAGAGAGACGGAGAGAGAGGGCACAAGGGTTGATCTCTGCTGCTTGGGGAATATCATTGTATCTCCCACTTCTACTCTGACATGTGCTGTGATTGCTTGCCAAATAACCTGATGACACCTCTAGAGGGTGGTGGTGGGGTTTGTGAAGAAGATGGCCATCTTAACCAAGAGCAGCCGCTGGTCTTTTGTGGTGGTGTTGAGTAGGGGTCTCAAAATTGGTAGAAGAAACTCTTGGATCAGCCAACTTACTCCCACTAAATCTCTTCATTGAAACATTTTTCCAAATACTGGTTGACGCAGAAATTCAACCATCTCTCTCATCTCTTCTTCTTTTTCACACAAATCTGGTTTCATTTCCTCAGCCATTGGAGGAGCAAGTGAATCCTTCTTGCTTCTTGGCCCATCATCGCAAGGCAAATCAGTTGAAGTCTGAGAAGAGTAGAGTTGCTCACTAGGTGGAGATTGAGTAATGAAGCTTTGGGGGCTACAAATTGGAGAGGGAGAACCCAGGGAGTCTCCATGAGAGAAGAACCCAAGCTGAAAGCCGCACATATCGTTTTCATGAGGTCGAGTCAGATGAGTGATTTCAAGCTTTGAATCGACAAGTAGAGAGATTCTAGAGAGAGAGGGGCGGACAGAAGAGAGAGGTTGGGAAAGAGAGGGAGAGTTGGAGAAATATGGTGAGAGGACGGGAGAAATTCGGGGAAAATAGAGAGATGATAAGTTTACAGTTTTACATAGAAAATGTCATTTAAGATTTGTTTGGATTAAAAAACAAATTAAAATTACTCTTAGTTAGAACTTGGAAGATATAATAGATATGAGCTTTATGTCCTAATATATATTTTTAAACCTTTTATTTATTTAATAAAAAATTTAAAAAATGAGCCAGTTCTTTGATAAAACCTATTTAATTACAAAACCTGCTGGTTTTTGACGTATGAGTGGAATTGGATCACTCCCACCAATTCCTCATATGGATTGCATCCATAAGGTTGAAACCTTCAACAATCCAATTAAAACGCAACTTTAAATTTGATCATAACAAATAATTT